ACTGTTGGAAAAGCTTTGTGATAATTCCGACAACTTTTTCGATAATCCAAAATCAGCAATTTTAATGTTGCCTTGGTGAACCAGAATATTATTTGAGTGCTATTAAAATATATGTATATAATTAATTAAACTATACTAATATTGCTTAAATTTGACAACTAATTTACCAGGTCTCTGTGAATTACGTTGCGATCATGCAAATACATAACAGCACTAGACAATTGCTGAGAAAGATTAAGTTTTTGATTCCAATTAAGTGAATTATTCTGCAAGTAGTTACGAAGAGTACCCCCATTAGCATATTCTATGACAAGAAAGTACTCTTTATCGTCGTCTTACGTGTAAACTCAGTGTGATTAATGTGTACCCTATAAATACGACTGGTACCAATGAATAAAAGTTATCGTATTACATTACCTCTCTTGCAAATTCCGTAGAATTTCAATATATTCTTATGAAAGTGGACATCACGATGCAACTTGAACTAAAAAACGTTGAGTTTTAATGATAAGCAAGTGCATAGCAAAAATATTTGCCCAAAATGCATCCAATTATTGATCATTTACTTCATTAATGAAGGCATCCATAACTTTTTTGTCATTAATTTGGATAGATTTAATAGCAACATCATTTTTATACTTGTCTACTGCTCGGTGTACAACTCCGAATGCACCTTTACCGAGTTCTCGAACTTTCGTAAATTGCTCGTACTTAAATTTTTCAATATTTAGATCTTGAATTGACTTTTCAAGATCATTAGACCAGTCGTAAGCTGACATGCTAAAAGAGTAAACGAAAAAGTGGAAAAAGATGATGAATATTTATGTACGTACCGTACGAATATATATACTGTATTGTAGCTTATACGGAGTTTAAAATGATTGTTTCCAAAAGCGGTCCAATTTACAATGTATTGTTATGGTTTGAGTTTTGCAGATCATTATGCGCCTTCACCTTTGTTTTTATTATACAAAAAGCATACGTGTACGTAGTATGTATGCGGCATGCATCTTGGCACAATAGTGTAAAAATCAATTAACAGAACATGCGTAAAAAAAATAATATTCAATACTGCAAAAATTAATAACTCTAAATTTATATATCGTTACTATGAGTTTCTAGTTTAAGTAGATAATATAAACTTATTTTAATTTTCGAATCAATTATATCAAATATACTTATTGATAAAAACAAACGAATTAAAAAAGAAAAAAAAAAACCATGAAAATTGATAGCAGAATTCTAGTTGCTATTTTCGATCACGCGGGGGTGCTCTCCATGAATTTTTCGTGCAACATCCTTGCGTCACTAATACAGCACCTTTGCAGGTGCAAATACAACTATTTCGAGTGAAATTTCCAAATTACTTTAACTCTTTACATTAATCTAAATATAAAATATACTTTTAACATGCCTAATAAAATGATCGGGACGTGACGAAATTCACGAAAATTGCGCGAAATATTAATAGAATGCATCTTTAATAAGCAAATATCAAATAAATAAAATTTTAGTTATAAATTAATAAATAAAATTTTAGTTATAAATTAATAAATAAGATTAAATAATTAATATAAAAAAAATTATTTTTTTAATTGGGTTAATAAGATATGAATTTCTTTTTCTCTTATTAGAAAAATTAGAAGATTCTTCATTATTATTTTGAGTTATATTTTCTAATGATAATTTTTAATTTATTAATGAATTAAAATCATTATTTTTATTAGCTACTTTTGATTTATCATTTAAATTATCTTTATTTAAATTAATAATTCAAATATTTCATCATTATTAATTTCTTTGATATTAATAAAACTATTATCAATTTTATCATTATTTTCACTATTTTCATAATCATTTTCTTTAAAAATTAATCAAGAATTAAAGGATTTTAATAATTTTTCAATTGACAATTTGTAATATTGAAAACAATAATTGCAATTAGAATCTAATAAATTAGTAAAGATACAAAATAATATGCATATCCATATATTAAAACTTTCATAAAAAATTTTATGTTATTACAAATTGAAAATTACAAGATTTTTTTTTATTTGAAATCTAATTAATATAATAAAGTAATGGAAGACTTCATTTTATAAAACTTTTTTCAATTAATAAAGTATAATCTTTAATTTATTTATAATACTTCAATTTTAAATTCATTTTGTTATTGATAAAAATTTTTAAAAAAATTCAAAAGAAAAATACTTGTTTAAATAAATAATAATCAATTGAAATTTTAAAAATAGACCTGTAGATCAATAGTGCAATGGGTACACTCCTAGGTCTCCATTAATGAGCTATCAGTTCAATTCCATCCAAGAACGGTTCTCACAATATAGGTCACATCATACAAAATGCATGCTCACAGCCACATGCACTCCTGTACACAATGACCTATCAGATTACACTACTTGACCATAGTATCATAAATCAGGTTATACAGGTTACGACCAGTTTTAACACCTAACTACAACAATAATATTGTGTCAATCGAAATATATAAAACTGAAGAAAGAAACTAATTGATCCATACGATAATCTAAATGTCAATATTTACTTCTTCTCAAAAAACTCACTTGTAAAAGATTGAGAGACCTCAGTCACTTGCACCAATCGAAAGAGTAATGGGCTGAACACATACTGGGAGACATGCATTGTCGATCACCAATAGTTACCACAAAAAGATGACTTATCCAACCAAGGTTAAGTGATGTTGAATCGAGACTTATGATAGAAAAATGCAGGAGTAGACCCTAGGAGAATAAATTCAGAAACAATCACCATAGTAATCAATCCAATGTGAGAAACAATCTACTATGAAATAACCAAGAGAAACCCTTGAAAAACCATATTTGAAGTGTAGTTAAAAATAGTTAAATAGAAGATGAAAATCGAATGTAATGCACCATTCAATCACTGGAATCTCACATTAAATCAAAGGTTTGGATAATAGTTGGTAACTCTAGTAGTCTAAATATGGTACGATGTTCATATCAGAACAAAAAAACAAAGTTCAATATCCTTACAATGGTAACAATCCCAGTCCTTGATAATAAAATAATAACACAAGTCTGTAATGGATCCCCATAAGCATTACTGCCTAGACAGAACAGAGTGTATTAACATAATAGTACCTTGCAGTTAAAATTAAGTGGGTTTATAAGATATGAGATTAGATAGCACTAAAATTAGTTACACAAATTGCTTATGTAATCATATGTACTGTCCAATCTTGATTCTAATAAACTTCGTCAATTATGACTTTAAAAAAAAATTTTTTAAAAAATAATAAATTTTTAATTTTTATAAAATTTTCAATAAATTTATTTTCATGTTTTTTATAATTTATAAAAATACAATATTGTTTAAAAGTTTTTAGATTTATTAGTTTTGAAGTAATATTTTATAAACAAAATTACAAAAATATTCTATTGGATATTCATCAATTATATTAAAATATTTTTATTATTGGATATTTTTGATTATTTTATGAATAATATTTAATAAAAAAAATTAATATTATTTTATTATAATTTTTCTGAGTACATTTTTTATAAATATTTATAATTAAAATATTATTTTATAATAATTAAAATATTTTATAATAATTGAAATATTATTTTATAATAATTAAAATAATCATTTTAAATATTCAAAGATTAAAATATAATATTATTTTAAAAATCTAAAATTGTGCAAAAGTATTTATTTTTAAAATTTTTAAAAAAATTTAAAATTTATATTTTAATTTAATTTAAATTTTTTTAAACATATAGTCAAACCAATATAATATATTTATTAATCTTTATGAAAGCTAATAGTGATATATTGATTAATTATATCAAGATAAACTAAATCTTATACTGACTCACTTGTTAACAACTTTCAATTCTCAAATGTGCTTAAGTCTTTAAATGTGATCTTGAGAATTATTTTATTTCAGAATAAGTTTTGAATAAAGACCCTTATAATTGATCAATTATATGAAAATAAATTAAATCTCATACTGACTCATCTATTAACAGCTTTCAATTTTCAAATAAGCTTAAGTCTTTAAATGTGATCTGGAGAACAATATTTTATTCCAGAATAAGTTTTGGATAAAAACCCTTATAATTTACCTATTATTGTTAGAAAGTTATCACTATCTATTATTCTCTAAGAAACTAATTTTGAGAAATTACAGTAGTGAAAAAAAAATAAAAAAAAAAGTAAAATATTTAAAAATACATAGATATATGTATATAATGTTATGGATCATGTGGGTAATGTGATTTATGCGTAATGGTCTAGAATCCAAAAACATG